CTGCAACCATTTAATCTTTAACTTACTATAAAGTTGTTTTTACTAATTCTCCTATTTTGGTTGGAGAATCTAATAATTCTTATATTAATTTTTTAATCTAAATATGAGGAATTCGATAATAATTTGATAATTGTTAACATAAATAAGATTTACCTGCTGCTGGACCTCCATGAACAATTAATTTAACTGTATCTAAACCACGATATATTTTAAATTGATCTCTTATTTTATCAATATTTTTAATGAATCCTTCTTGGAATTACCAATTAATTATAGGATTCTTATTAGCATCAATATATTAATCATCTGATTCAAAAATTTGAGTTGGTCTCAACCAAACATTCATCATTAACATCTTCTCAGAACAACTAGTTACTGTTTTTGTTTTACCATTCCCAATATTTTTAGCAATAGTAGTAATCAATTTCTTTTATGTCATATTCTCATAATCAACTGCAAAAATATACTTATCTTAAGGATTTAAAATTGTAGCTTTTTTCACTATACTTGCTAAATCATTAACGTGAATCATTGGAATAATATTATTCCCTTCACCATAAATTGGCAATTCAGCATCCGGATCCATCCAAACTGTTTTGAAAAGTTCATATAAAATATCTTCTCCATTACCATATATTAATCCTGGTGTTATTACATAAGTGTTTAATTCTTTTTTTTCACAACCCAATATTGACTATTCTAAATGTTTTAATCTTTCAAAAAAATTAATTCTTCTGTTTGGAAGATCATTTTCAGTAAATCTTTCATATTTCTTAAATAATTATAATTCATCTTCATTCAAAAATGATTATCGAAAAGCAGTTTCTTCTGATTTTTTCTCTTTTAGAGTAGTAGTTGACCAAGTTAATGGATTACTCACTAAAACAAATGTTTTCTATGAGTTATATTGTCCATATTTCAATAATTTAAATGCATACTCAGCTTAACAATAATTCTAATGAAAAATGATAATATCACAATCTAATACAACTTAACCTAATTCAATCATATCAGAAGTATTTATTAATTTAGTTGCCCCTCTTGGCAAACTTTCTCCATTTCCCAAAATTATATGTGGATTGAAATCATTCTCATGATCATTTCGAAATTCTTCTACAAGAGCAGAACCAATTAAGGAATTCATTTCTTCTATAAATATCCTTAATTACTGGCAATTTTAGGATTTATCTCCAGAAGCCCTTTCCATAGACCTAGTTTATAAACTCATTTTAATCTAAATTATTGATATTGTAAAAAAATACTATAACAAAATTATTATCATCTCTATTAGATTAGTTTAATAATAAATATAAAATAGAATTTATATAAAGTATTTTTACTTATGGATATCTAATAGATTACATTTTTAAACAAAATAAAATTATCATCATTATAATAGAAATTAATTATAAAATATTGTAGCCTATTTTTTTAAGGGATTATTGAAAATATCAAATTTCAATGAAATCTATTAAAATATTATATAAATATAATAATAGTAGAGAGATGAGTATATCTCGTTTCTATTCCAAAAGTCTTATATTATTTTTTAATTAATTATAATCCGTTTTATTAATAAAATATACATTCATGATAAAATCCATAATTTTCATGTCTTTGCTCTTATTATCCTTTGGTTAGAGCATTTAAGGAACTCTGGCCACACACTATGATTTAGATGGCAATTTGATCTCTGAAGAAGTTCAATAATCTACAGAAGATGATTATTCTTCTCTTAACAGCATGGATTCATCACTCGATTCTAGTATTAATCTAAATGCAGATGAACAATAAGATTAATCTTAGCTTGAAGCGAACCTTGATTCTATGAATTCAATGGATTTAAATGATGATGTTGCCCCTCTTTAAAGTGGAGAAATAGATAAAGAGTAAACAAATTTAGTAGAATCGGAATTTGAGATATCTCCAGTGATCAATAAATAGCCTGAAGAAGAATCATCATTTTAGTATTAGGAATATTAACAATAAGAAAGAGAAAGAGAAAATTAATTAGCAGAAGTGATGCAAGATGATAATTAAGATTAGAATCAAAATGAAAAAACAACAACAGAAAAACAAGAAGAATCAACATAAATTTAAACTGATACTTTTCTATAGCCTGTTGTTGCATCATAAGAATAAGTTATTGATATCTAGCAACCTTAAGATGAATCAGAAATTATCAATTCCTTAAGTTAAAGCTAAGATATTTAAGAAACATAAATAAATAATCAAGATACATAATTATCATTTGACGAAAATGATTCAATTTTATAAAATATTGATCCGAATGAAATTAATTCTTAAAATATGATTACTAATAAAGAAACATCCATTAAAGATGAATTAAAATAAGAATTAAATTTAGGAGAATAGAATATAACATAATAATAGGTTGAAAGTAATAATGATTTGTCTGTTCAATCAGAACCAGTCACTGTGGAAACTTAATCTTAAGAATAAATAATCAATTAAAATGTTGAATCACAACCTAATTCAGTACTTGATTAAAAAGATCAAGAAATCTAAACAACAAGCAGTTATAATTAATAGATTGCTGAATAAATATTAGATAATAATGTTAATATAAACGAAACTACTGAAAAATTAAATGATAATATTAATCAATAATAATCTTAATAAGAGGAGTAATAAAATACAAATAATTTAAATGAGTCCCAATCTAAAATAGAGGAAAATCATTAAATATAATAAAAAGAAAATAATGTCATTGAAGAATAATAAACATAAAATTAAGAAGAATCACAAAAATAAAATGTCTCAGATGATATTAAGAATGCAAATGAAATAAAATAAGCAAATTGTATCGTCATATATTCATAATGTGAGTATTAAGGATTTGCTTTAGAGGTTTGTAATAGTTTAAAAGAAATAGAGTATTATATATATTGCTTAACATTTATAGGAAATTTAAACATGAAATTAAATCTCTCTACATTCCATAAGGTTATGGACTTACAATTTATGAAAACTAAAACTTTAATGGAAAAAGCCATAGATACACTTCATCTTAGGCATGTTTATAAAGCGCAGTTTCTTTCATACAACTTAAGATGGATATTTAGTTGGCTCATTAAAATTTAAGAGGAAACAAATGAATAATAAAGCTAATATAATATATTATTGAACAAAAAATATGATTATATCATTGGCTTTATTGCTAAAACTATTCTTTTTACTATTAAAATATTTATTATCCAAGAGGTTTTAAAGAGTCTTCAAAAATAGAATTTAATTATTTAAGATGTTCACAATTTAAACACGTTACATCAACAAGGGCTGCAGAAACCAAATATGGATCAATATTTGCTGCTGGTCTTCTATCTTCAAAATATCTAAGCTCATAAATATTTAAACAATACCCTTATCCCTATTCTTTTGTTATAATTGGCACTCTAACTGAACATCCCCTTGATCCATCTCCCCAAGTAAATTAATCATATTTTCCGGTCTCATGTCTACCTGTGAGTCTAAGCTCATTTTTTTATCCATATAACTTAATCATTTCAAGATGATTCTCTTTAAGAATAGGCATTAATTTATCTACAATAAATCTATATCCTCCTTCAGACCTTGTTGTAACGGTAGAATAATTGCAATGTGCTCCACTACCATTCCAATCACCTAGAATAGGTTTTGGATCATAATTGATATCAATTCCAAATTCTTCTCCTATTCTTTCTAAAATATATCTTGCCAGCCACATATGATCACCTATTTCAATACCTTCTGCAATTCCTATTTAAAACTCCCACTAGGATGGTGCAACTTCAGCATTCAATCCAGCTATTTTTATTCCAGCATTCAAACATGCTCTCAGATGAGCTTCGGCTAAAGCTCTACCAAAATTATTTCTTTCGCCAATCGAGCAATAATATCTGCCTTATGGATAGGGAAAACCACCTGTTGGCCATCCTAAAGGCCATAGATGTGTTGTTCCTGTTCTTTTTAATAAGAAATATTCTTATTCAATTCCAAACCATGGTTTATGATCTTTGGCCTATTCCATTATTTAATTTGCGATCCACCTATAAAAATTAGAAAGGCATGAAATTACCTAAAATTATATCTTGCTGGTGTTTTTTTATCTGGAAGGTATGTTTCACACAATACAAGAATATGAGGATCACCTCTGAAGGGATCCTTTATTAATCTAACTGGCTTTAAATATATTTCAGAAAATCTAGTCACTGCTTAATCGGTTGATGATCCATCATAAGTCCACCACTCCAAATCTTCAATGGTTTTGATTGGAGTTTAATATACCTAAAATATTTTTACACGTGGGGAATTACTTTTGTTTTTGATCTTAAAGATTCTCCTGTTCCATCAATCCAAATATATTCTGCTAATACTACTGTTTTATTGACAGCTTTTGAAAGTTAGTAATAATTAAAATCACGTAGATTTTCAATGGTTTCTGTCATGAACAATTAAAATATTGGAACTTTAAATAAATATGAAATTGTTATCCTTAATTTATATATATAGATTGAGATTTCAATTCCTTTATCTCAGAAGCAATTTTTTGATTTTTTTTTATTCATTTCATAATTTTCTTATTTTATTCTAAGCACTATACGTATTCACGGATGTGAAGATAATGTTTGTAAAAACACGTTAATTATTATTATTGACGAAATAATAAAGTAAAAATACTATTTATTTTTTTCGACTTATTCTTAATTAATTTTTACTGCTTAATTTGAAGATGAACTTTTAATTATTTGATATACTTTTTATTTTGAATAATAATAAATTCTTTTTGATTCCTTACTTTTTAAAAATTTAAACCAAAGTTGGTTATTTTGATTATCAATTATTTGATTCTTATCATAAAAGAGCCTATTCTTCTTTAATCAATAATTATTCATCTAAATTTTTGTATTGATGATGTTAAAATGCAAATCAAATTATAATGTCTCTTTTAGAGTTATTCAATTTTTTATAATAAATATTTTACAATTAACGAACATAAAATGATTGATTAGATTAATCAGCTCAAGGAACAAATAATTACGCTTTAGTAAAATGAGAAAGATTACTAGGATTTGAATTTCTTATTCACTAATTTAGAACATAGATATAATCTTTTAGCTGAAGAAAAGTAGAGAATGGAGATTGATTATAATCGCAGGCATGAATTTAATATGCAATCAGTAGCCAGACACAGAGCAGAAATTGACTAATTGCGAAATGAATTAATGTCTTGCTAAAACAATCAGGAACAAATGGAATATTTGGTTTATGAAAATCAAGCGCTGACAGATGAAGTTAATAATTTAAGAGATGCTTATACAAAAATAGTGTAATAAATCTAAGAATAAGATGAAAAATATTAAACCACATTAGCAGCTAAACAATAGTATATAGAAAGTTTGTAATTTCAAATAAAATAAATGAATGACATATAGACCCACAAAGAAAAAAAGTTTTAAGCTGAAAATGAGAATAAATAGTAGTTCGTAAGTGAAATGGAATCTTACAAGTCTTAAAATGAAAAACTTACCATAGACAATAAACAGTTAATCAAATAAATTGAGAGATTAGAACTTTAAATTTAAAATTATAAAGACTAACTTAATCAAATGACTTAAGAAATTGGAAAAATGTAGCATTAAATGAGCATGTTAACTAAAGAATTAGGAAATTAAAATGTATTTAATTTCAGGTATTTTAGAAAGTTTCAGCAAAAGAATACTAATTGGATCATGAATTAAAATCTTTAAAGAATATGAACATTTCATTACTTTAAAAAAATGAACATCTTTAATAATAGATAGAATAATTAATACATAACAATTAGTAACTTATCTTAGAATGTGACACTTTGAGAATTAAATTTGCAGAATAAGAAAACTCTAAATTAATGGTCTAAAATTAATATGCAAAATCTTTAAATAAATTTCAAGAAGAAAGGAAAGTTATTAAAGACTATTTATGTAAATTGATATTTTATCATTAGAAAGATAAAAAGTCTTAAGAGAAACCAGATTATAAAATGAAAATGATGTTAGTAAATGTTTAGAAGAAATCACTAGATTAAATAATAAGTGATTGTTATTATTTATTTTTCAAATTAAAAAATATTGAATATTATGTAATACCAAACATTTAAGCCAACAATTTTGAATGATACCACCAATTAATAATAATAAGGAATGGCAAGACCTAGCTCTAAATTCGTAAGTTAAAAAATAGACCATACAAATAGTATTAATGAAAATAAAAAATCTGTGGCTTAATAAATAGAAGCGATAGAATATATTTAGGAAATAGAGGAATAAAAATCTGTAATAGAAGGATAAAATTAATTTATCTAAATTTTAAGAAATTCAATAGAGAGTAAATTATAGATTGAAGGATTTTAAATGATATTAGATTAAGTAGAAAATATGTCAAAAGAATAAAAAATTGATTTATTTGCATTAATTACATAGTTATATTAGGAGTTGTCAATCTAAAATTAGTAAAATGCACAAGTTGAAAATTTATAACAATTAGTAGAAAATTTAAATAAATAAATTAATTGTTATGCCAAAGAATTAACTGAATTAAAGGTTGATAAGTAATATTTGTTGGATTAACTCGATTAATTATAAGGTATCACTAAAGATGATGACACTATTTTATTTAAAGATGCATAAATATCAAAATTAGAATCAGAGATTCAGCATTATAAAACTCAGAATTAGAAATTGCTTTTGCAAAATGAAAAATATTAAGAGGATCTAACCTAACTGGAGAAAAGACTAAATAAGATTCATCTTAATTTAAAAACTGAGGAATGTGAGAAAGAAGAACTAATCAAAGAATTAGAAAATTTAAAATAAACTTTCTACAAAAGTCAAGTTAAAGAAGAACATAAATTAGAACTAAATTTAGCTTTAAAGGAATAAGAGTTAGAATTTAGTAATAATAAAATCAAAAAGTTAGAGGCTTAAATTAAAGAATTAAATTTATTAATAGAAGAGTAATAAAAATAAATTGGAACATAAAAATATTAAATAGAAAATTTGCAATAATAGCATTAATTATAATATGATTAATTAGAGATTGAAATGAATTAATATCGAAATGAAATTCATGAATAATAAATGTATTGTGAACAATTGTAATCATAGTTATCAGTGTCAGAATAATTTATTTAATAAAGTAAATATTTATAATAAATAAAAAGTTATCGATGAAATGCGTAAAATTATAAAAACTAATGACTCAGATATTTTCAATATCTTATAACAATTATCAGAAAATATTTAAACTTTAAACTCAAATGAATAAAGGTTGAAGTAGAGTGAACATGAAAAATCTTAAATAATCTTTGATTTATAACATTAATTTACAGACTCCTAATAAAATAATTAATAATTATCTGAGTAAATATCCCTATTAACTGCATAAACATAGTAATATTAAAATGATATCAAATAATTAGAAAAATAAAAACGATTATTTAGGTAGGAATTTGCTCATATGAAATAATTAGAAGAATAGAAAAATCAAGAAATTAAGGAGTTAGAAAAATAATTTTAAAAATTTGATAAAAAATTCTCTGAATAATTAGAAAGATCTATAAAAATTGAGAAAGAAAATGCTTAATTAAAAGAATAATTGTCCCTATCTTAATAGTAATTAGCTAATGCAAAAAGTCAAGTTTCTAATAAAAAATCTCTAAGCTTCAGCTAATCATCATTTACAGAATAAAAAGCAAAAAATTACGATTATATTGCGCTTTTATAAACTGTAAAATATATTGTTATATAAGTTTGAAAAAGTAAAGCCTTTATTTCCAAGTGAAGCTCTTGATTTAGTTTAGGAGATGCACACTTTACAGAACAAATTAGTAAGGACAGATGAAATAGATAGTTAATTAATTTAAGAAGAAATAAAGATATAACAAAAAATATCTATTTAATAACTCAATCTAAAAAATATGCAGGCTTATCTATCTAAAATATTATCCGAAAATAAAAAATTAAAATTAGAAGTACTTACATTAAATTTATATCAAAGTTATAAATGAATTAACCTATACATGCTGAGTAATCCTAATCATAAGAATGTTTATCATATGATTAAGGTAGAAGCTTCTCTAGATTTCATAAGTAATCAATGTCAGTTCATACAAAACCAAAATGTTAATGATTTTTAAGAAATAACTTAATTGAATTTTTTGACAAAGTATATATTATTCTACTTCTATCTTTGTATATTGTAATTGATTAGTGCTTAGATTAACATCTTAAATATTTCAGCCAGATATAATTTATTAATCCACTGAAGGTTTTCAATTAAATTAAATTTTACATATTTTTTTATATTTAAATGTAAAATCACACATAGCCTTTTTATTATTTTTATTTATTAATTTATTGTTTCATGCACTAGAACGATTAAAATCAAGGTTCATTATTGTCATAATAATTAAGCTAACATTGATTTCAATTAATAATATACATTAGAAGATGAAAAATATTACAAATTACCTAATTTGATTGTTGGAAATTTTAAGGGCCAAAGAACTCATATCAATGTAATAATGATTGTATCCTTTTAGTATTAGCAAGATATAAAAAAATTGGATGATGATTTAAAGGATATTGCAGAGTCAACAGTTCTTAAACTTAGAGATTATGCTAAAGTTTGGGATGTCGACTCTACAAATTAAAAATAAAGATATTACTTCAACATTCCACCAACAAGCTTCTTGCATAAAATTAAGGAGTTTGAATTACCTAAAAATTTTTAGGCTGTAAAATTTTTGATTTTAATCATTTAAGTACGAATATAATGCTGTATCCAATTTATCGGAAAAGCAAATTAAAGAAATGTATGAAACTGGAACTTTTGAAGTTCCCTCTAAATAATTTCCAATTCCATACGTTTGGTAGATATCATCATGGGTTATAAAAGGTAAACCATCATTATTTTATCTAAGGAAGTTAAAATATAAAAACTTCAAAATATTTAGATCTTGCAAGAGCTTACAAAGCTTATAGAACTTGGCTTGCCTATATAGCTTAAGAAAAAGATGAAATAGGAAGAAACATATCACTTAGATCTGCAATTTATAATATCGGAATTGTATTTTTTTTTATAAATAAAATAGAGACCATTAGTAATATTTTCTATTTTTTTTGGATTTAAAGAGATGTATTCTTATGTAGAAGAACAAAAAATATTGTCTTTAATTGAAACTTAAAGGCAACTTGAATTGAAGAAATTACAGAATATCAATATCGAATTATATAAATATTTATAATTAAAGCCTGGTGATTATAAAAATGTTGAAGCTAAATAAAAATATGAAGACTTATAATAATGCTAAAATTAATTTGAAATTGAGAGAAATGGAATAAAATTGTAAATGCAAAACCTATACGATATCCAAACAGAAAAGAAAACTCTTTTAGAAACTGAAGATGAAGAGATTATCGAGTAACACGAACATTTACAAGAATAAATAAACTAATTACAAAGCGATTTTGTTAAAAAATATAATCTTTTTATTGATAAGAATATTGATATAAATCTATAAATCGAATTAGCTGAATATTTAGCCCAAAAGTAGTTTTGGGAAAAAACAAAATATTCAAAACCTATTGTTAATCAAATTATTTCATTAGGAGATTGTCTACGGCTTTATGATTATCATTATGATATTTATCAAGCAAAATATAATTCAGCAATAAAAAGATTCAAAGAATAAATAAAATAATAACATAAAATAAAATCTAATTTCCAACAGTTTGTTGATGAAGAGACTTAAAAATTCAAAAAGGATGTGAAAAAACAACTCAAATAATAATTTGTTTCAAATTTTTAAGAAGATATGAAATTATTAAATTTGCCTGAAATATAAGTTTATGAATAATTTTAGAAATGTAAAAAATAGATGAGGGACAATTTTAAGCAAATGAGAATCCAACAAAAAATGGAAAATAAAGAGGCCTCTATTAAACTTGTTGTGTATAGTTTTCATATAAAATTAGATCAAAACGATTATTTCCTCCATATGAAGTTTACTAAGAAAGGAATAGATTTTATTTGAGAAGATATAAAGATTATCACATTGATTCTTCTAAAGCCGGTTGGAAGCTTAAATTAATAGGGATAAGATATTATGTTTGGACAATCAACATTATTTTTTGGTTAAGTGCAAATGCTGTTTCAGGACCTATTGGAATTAAAGCTTTAATAAAAAAGGAAAAATTTAAACCAGACGTGACGATTGATTCCATTACAGGTTAAGTTATGCCTTCAAGTTTTACTGTTACTCCTTTAATAATAAAGTTTTTTTAAGTATTAGAAGGGATGAAAAACTCAAGGTGTCATTTTGAAAATAGCGCTGATACTGGTTTGTTTGGAAAAAATTTGTATCGAGTTTTTAATTTAATGGAAGTCTACATTTTTAGATTTTTATTAGTAGGTATTTTAGGAGTTTTAATCATTTTGCCAATTATTATTTTATCTAATGTTGTAATTTCTACTTTATTGGCATTCACTGCTTGGCTTTGGATTCCTGTGACCATTATTATTCGAATCTTATTTAATGTATTAATTTATGATACAGACGTGTGTCGTAGAAGAGAGAAAGACATTATATGGAGATCTCCTAATTGGTTCCCTTTAATCATCAATATTTTTGATTTTTTAATTTTAGGAATATTGAACACCGTTTATTGCTTATTTAAATTGCTATTATGGCATCCCTTTTGGATAACTTTTATGGCCATATTTGCCTAAATGAGATTTTATACTAGATCTTTTTATGATTCTTTTACTATTATAATTATAAAATTATTAGGAAGAGTTCCTTCTTCAGAAAACAATATAGCTTGGAAAATCTCAGGACCTGGGTTATCTAGATAATATTTTTATGGAGTATATATGATTGTTATTTAAGATCAAATTGCCTTAAGTATTGATTTTAGTTCAAGCAGAATTAGAGAAAAAGATGTTAAATCTGTATAAATAAAAATTAATAAATCTAATAAACAAACCTTCATTAGAATTAAAGTAAAAAATTAACCCATTTTTCTAATTATTTAATGTAAGAAATTCTAATATATCTAGGCTTAATTTTCTTTTGATGACCCAGCTTGCAGATATTTGACCAATCAATTAGATAAATAAATAGATGAAAGACTAAGCTTATTTCCAAGCCTTAAACATTAAATTAGATTTACTGAAGATGAATTAAAGTTTATATTAAAATAGGTCAAATCTTTTGTGAAAAAATAAATAATCTTGAAAGACATGAAATCTTACATTTGGGATACCTACTATGTTTAGAAAGGAGATTATAATTTATTATGTGAAAAAATTATGGTTGCAATATTCGGTTAAGCTGTTCTTGATCCATTCGAAGATATAGAAATGAGATTTTAGCTTGTAATACAATTATTTTATCTTAGAATGTTTCTTAAAACTTTGATTTTATTAGTAAAATTGATAGAGTATTGGATGGGGACTTATTATTTTAGCTTCCTTGTGATTATTAAATTTAACCTAAAAAATAAGGAGGTAACGATATTGTTTAAAAAAAATTTATTTCTTATCAACATGTATTCTGTTTATATATCTGTAGGTATTATAAGAAGTATGGAATTGGCAAAATTTAAAGCAAAATTAAAGTTCTTTAAACTCAAAAAGGAATAGATGCTTAATAAATTATAGTATAGATCCAAAAGAGTGAATTATTATTAACAAATGGTTATTAAAATTAGTTTATCACATTTTCGGTATTGTATAAACATTAAAAGTGTATATAAATCAATCATACTTTCAAATAAGAAAAATTAATTCATCAGGAATATTGTTTCATTATTTTTTTATATTAATCACCTTAAAAAAATTTAATTAAAAAAACTTATTGGTGTTGGTTTAAAGTTTTTTTTTTAATTAATTTCATCAATAATCAAAAAGAAATTTCAAAGTGAGAGGGAATAATGTTTTGATTCAAAATATTTATGCTTTTATTTTAGAAAATAACAGAGAGTTAAAACTTCGTATATTTGATGTAGATTTTAAACCATGAAAAAAATTTAATTTATTTAAAAAAATTCCATTTTATTATTTAATTAATATGTTTTATTATGGCTAACTAGTGATTGGGCCTGCAGGAAGTGGGAAAACATCATATTGTAAAAGTTTACAGGAAGGATCTTATAAGAGGAACATTCAAGTTGTTAATTTAGACCCTGCTGCCGATTACATTCCGTATAAATGTGCAATCGACATTCGAGAATTAATATGTTTAAATGATGTAATGGAAGAATTTGAATATGGCCCAAATGGCGGTTTAGTCTATTGTATGGAATATTTATTGTAAAATTGGGATTGGATGTAAGATCAATTAAACAACATTGCTTAAGATGACTATGTTTTATTTGACTGCCCAGGATAAATAGAACTATATTCTCATATTGATATGATGAGAAAGCTAACATAATTATTAGGTAATTCTGGATTTTCAATCTGTTCTGTTTATTTGGTTGACATAAACTTTATTGAAGATGATGCTAAATTTTTATCTGGACTTTTAATGGCTTTATCAGCCTCCATGACTTTGGAATTGCCTGCGTTTACAGTGCTTTCTAAATGTGATCTAATTAAAGACAAAAAAAAGTTAAAGAGATATACAAAACTTCATAAATTTAACTAAGATAGTGAGTATGTAAATTTGGATGAATTTTCTAAGACCTATAAGTCTTTTACTTCAGGCATTAGTGAATTGGTTACTAGTTTTGGAGTTGGAAGGCTTTTGTGTCTAGATATTACTGATGATGAAAGTATCGACAATATCTTAGGAGAAATTGATTATGCAATATAATTTGGAGATAATTTAGAACCTGATGATAAATTATATGATTAAGCTGAATAATAATTATGAAGTAAATACTAAAAAAATTAACATCAATATTATATCTAGACTTATAATTCAAGTTAATTTATTTATATCATTCATAACTTAATCCCAAGTATTTCCAAATTAAAATCCTTTTTAATAAACCATATCTTAAGCTACTTAATCCCTTGCTTATACCAAATCCTACTTAGTTACATTTTACATTCCTTTCGATTTTAATAAAGATAATAATGAATTATCCTAATTTAAACTAGCCATTTCTTACAAATCCATCATATCTTAGAATCTATTTTTATAATATTCAACTGTTTATTTCAACGATTTATTGTCTTCATTTAAACTGTGATTCTAAACTTTTAATTTATGCATTTCCTCTTGCAATTTATCAATCATTTTCATGTAGTTTTCTTTTAGATATCGAAATTCATTAAAATACATCTCCTTCTCTTTATCTAAAGTATTTTTTGCTATTTCAAATTACTCACATTCCTGCTAAAAGATTTGCTTTTAGGATTCTAACAATTTAATTTAATTGACAAATTAAGCTATTTTCACACTTGCTTCAACTTCATCTTTTTATTTTTGTTATAATTATGCTTCTAATTAAACTATTCTATTTATGAATTGTTCATTAACTTATTTTATTGATTCTTTTAAAGCAATTTCTTATTAGCTAATTAATTATTCATTTTTTTATTATATCTGTAAATATTCATTTTTTATTTTCTAATTTTCATTATTTAACATTTTAATTTACTCCTCATAAAACATATTTTATTTTTTAAGATATTCCAATTATGCTTTTTTAGCTTCGTTTTAAGAGATTTCCATTTGGAGTCTGTTCTCTCTCTCTTATAAAGAGTATAACCATTGCAAATTTTTTTAATCCATTTCTTTGTTTTTTATATCAATATTCATTTTGTCTATCGAGTAATTTAATGAATTAAGTTGCTTCTTTTATTATTCAAAATTATTATTAATACTACTAAGATTACTTAGCAAAGGGCCAATTTTTTCATACAAATCATAATTTCTTTAACTGTCTGAGCTCATTAAATTAATTTAATTTAAATAATTAAATATATCAAAATAATAAATTGATTAACTTACTAAATCCTAACTTCATCAAATTAATGATTCTTTAAAAAATAAGAATATCAAATCATAGCATCCATAATATAGAGTCACTACTTTTCCCTTCTAATAAAGCTGATTAAATAATTAATATTTTAGATTTTCTACTATTTAGATAGTGCTATTTGAATATTTTTGAAAGTAATTAGAGTAAATAAATATTTACTGTTATTTAACAATATAGAATTATTAATAAAAAATGAAATTTTGGAAGATTACAACATAAAAAATTGATTTTTTATTTAAGTTTCACACCAATAATAATTTTAAAAAGCGTATTTCCTAAAACTACAAAAAATGTGCTAAAATAACTTTGGAAATGCAATGCAGAATAAATTCTTAAGAATTATTGAAATGCTAGTAAAGATATTTATATCAAAAGTGTATTTCTTAAATAAATTGTTGATTACATTCAAGTTATTGAAAATATTCTTATCATTATTGTGACTATAAATAATAAAAAACTATTAATTTTATCCATTAAATTGTCTTTATTGATAATCAGATCAAGCCTTTTAATAAGTCTAAAAGATCAAATTTAAACTAAAAGAATTTGGATTTAATTAGAAGACAGAAGAGGCCTTTAGAACATTGAGGGGAAAATGAATTTGAATAGGATGATGAAGTAGTGTTAAAATTCTTGATTAGTTGCCTAGTGATTGAAAAGTCTCCAATTATTAAGCTAATTTGGAATATCATTCATACTCAAAAAAAAAATGAAATAAACATCTGTTGATTGTAGGTTGTTATCGTAATTTATTAAGATAACAATATTAAATTAGAAATAGCAAAAATACAGTTCTAAAAAAGCTAAATCACTAAATAAAGAAGTTTAAATGGATATAAAATAATTTCGGGAGAAATTAACAGATGGTGAAATGCAAATGAAAATAACAAACGATATAATTTACTTTAAATACTAAATTAATAATAGGTATATGTGAGAAAATTTCTGTTTGAATAATTGATTAGAGTCTTAGCAAAGACAATCGGCCTTATAGCAATTTACATTTAAGTTGCAATGATTGTGTCTTCTATACTGATGTCTATTTGTGAATAATAAATCCAGACTTCTGATATTCAACTTTACTAATTACAATCTGTTAATGAGGCTATTAATTTGAAAATTGAATTTTCTCTCAAAATTCATAATTTAAAAACATTTCTTAAATTTAAATCATCTAAAATTTTATCCTAACTTTAAAAATGATTAATATTATAATCAGTGTATAAGGCTGATTTTATAAGGTTTTCTAATAATGGATGGATCTACAAAGTTGATATTTCTTCTTTTTTGTTTTGTTTAAATTTTTGTCTTTAATCCTATAGAGGCAATGATACAAAATGAAAATAAAAGTAAAATTTGACTATTAAGAAATATTGATATCCCTTGATATTTATTATTGAGGCATGGGTTATTCTGTAAAGAACTATTGATAAATATAATCATTTTAGGTATAACAATATTTACTTGATTGATATTATTTAATCTGTCTATCAATTATTCAATTGATTATATAATTCAGGTTTTTTTTACAATATTTTTATGAAATAATTACCAAAATCCTTATTAGAAATCTATTCATTTTATTTTTATCAATCCTTTTAAACCCCTAGAATTTATAAATTAATTATGGAATTTATTGTTATTTCCTTTTTCCAATTTTATTTTTCTATATCTTGAAAATACTTGTTGTTTTGATTTAATCAATACCTTAAGGTTATCCTGTAAGCATTCATAAAATAAAAGACCTCTGTTATTTTATTTTTATAATTATGTAGTTTTTAAGATTTTTCACTATTGATTAAGATCTGAATGGAAAGGTCATTGGAGATCTTAAAAATTTTAAATGTTAATTTTTCTGAAATAATAAATTTACACTTTTTTAAATCATAAGTAATAATCTTTCGAATCAATACAAAGTTTTCTGATTTCAAATTCAAAAATATGAAAACAACTTCACACAAATGCATACCAGAAATAAGTATTGTGTCTAAGTCAAAAGCAAATGAAACAATATAATTAATTTTGCTGATATTCTAAAAATATTCCCTTTCCCATTCGATTTTGTCCTTCTATGCTTTGGCTCTCAAAAAAATATAATAATGATTTATTAAGTAAGTATTTTTAAAAAGAATAGTTTGGTTTTGAAAAAGAATTATCTATTCAAAAGTCATAAATATTTTTGTTCACCTGAATCTTATTTTCTCTAAAATCTTACAAATATTGCTTTTTAAATGTCAAATAATAATTTTTTAGGTTTCATCTAACCTTACCAAACTACTTATTAAGCAAATATAATGATCAAGGCAAGGATTTAAAAAGAAATTACTGTTGAATTAAAGGTTTATAAATGGATGATAAATTAGTTTTTAGTCTTTAATAAAATATCAAAATTTATCTTTTGATGTAACTATATTTTTAATAAAACTATTGTAAAGAAGAATTTGCAGAAATTTATTTGAAACTCAGATTTCAAATAAAGATAAGATAAAGCCTAAAGAAAAGATTTCAAATACACAGAAGGACCAACATTGGTCAAATGGATTTAAAATTATATCCCCTGTTGTTAAGCACTAAGGAAATTGTGGCTCATGTTGGGCATTCACCTTAATTGAACAATTGAAATGAACTTTCAATTAGTATATGAAAAATTATATAATTTATCTGAATAAAAACTAGTTGATTGTTC